TGGTGCTAGTTCTAGAAGGTGTTGTAGGTCTTCATAGAAGCGGTCAACTTCAGCTTCTTCAATTAATTAATTAATTAATTAATTAATTAATCAATTCAGATACATTTCATAAATTGGAAATAATAATTAAATATTCACCTCCTTCCTCCAATCCTCATATTACTGTAACTGTACATTGTACTTTATGGCATTCTTTCTGTTATTATTAATTTCTTGAAGCACCTAATTTTGTTCCAAATTTTTAATTTTGCTGTTTGTTCTCTAATTATGCTTTGCAAAACTTGTATTTGGGGAGGACGTTCTGAAATTTATTTTTATTTTTTTATTATTTATTATTTGAAATTTATTATTATTTATCAATTGAAATTTATTATTTATTATTTGAAATTTTATTATTTGAAACACCAAATAATCATTTGGGCCTAAGCATCCCTTCTAGGCATTTTAATGTTGCTCCTCAGTGTCTCAGGGAAAAAAAATCCAGTCTGATTGGATTCTTAATATACTCCTGATGATCTGCTTGCAGCTGTAGTCATGATCTTCAGTGAAGTTAGAATGTTGTGACTGGAGTATCATCATTATGTATCATGCTATTTTAGGTGGTGAAGCAAAAATATTAGATTCCCTTCCTGAACAGGTCAAAGATTAAATTGACTGCTTTATCTAAATATTTCAGGTCGTGAATGGTCTGACTGGTCTAGTGAACTGCGCATTCCAGGTGATGAATTAAAATGGAAATTTATCAGTGATGGCTCTGTGAATGGATGGGGCTGGCGCTTCACGGTTTATCCCATCATGCCAGCTGCAGGTGAATCCCATGTATTGTTTCAGGACAGAAATATTTCTCTGAACTGGCATATTTGTTCTTTTTGTTTTATGAGTTATTAGCAAGCAGCTTACATAGCAGAAAAGAGAGAGCTTCAGTACTCCTGTGTTAGAAATATTATGGTTGGTATCTAATTCATAAAATGATAAACTAAACCAGTGTCAGCTTTTCATCCATTGATGGCAGCCAAATGCCTGTGATAAAAGACTCTATTTCTTAGATACAAATAAAACATTGAATGAGAATTGCAATCATCGTAGGAATAGTAGTAGTTCACATGAACTGTTAAGTTGCTGTTACCATGTTTTGATTAAACTATAGTATATAAGTAAATCTCTCATTTCATTTTCCCAACACAATTAAGTTGTGTTTTGTCTTATTTCTTTAAATCAGAGCATAAATGACTAATATTATTGAATTTTTCCTACAGGTCCAAAAGATCTTCTTTCAGATCGCTGTATTCTTTCTTGCCCGTCAATGGATTTGGTAACATGTTTACTGGATTTCCGTTTAAATTTTGCTTCAAACAGGAGCATAGTTCCTCGCTTAGCAGCTTCATTAGCAGCATGTGCTCAGCTGAGTGCTCTAGGTAAGTTCAGGTTTCTAACAAATTTCTGATTTCTAATACTGAAAATTGTTTCTTAAGCTAGTGTCCATTTTTTTTATATATCTTTTAGCTGCTGGCCACCGAATGTGGGCTTTACAGAGACTACGAAAGTTACTAACTACCGAGTTTGGCCAATCAATTAATATCAATCGAATCCTGGGAGATAATGATGGTGAAGCACGAACTATGGTAAAAATATCAAGCCTTTCAACAGTATCATAAATTCTAGTAATTGCTGTCATGCTGGCTTAAGTCCTATAGATATAGATATAGGTTGAAATCCTAAATCCCTCTCTCTGTCTCTGTATCTATCTATCTTTGGAGACTTTCTTAAGCTGTACAATTGAGCAATGTTTTGGTTCCAGAATGTTTGTGGGATCATCTGGATAGTTGATTGATTGATTCCATTTAGGTTGACAAATTGTAATTGGATACTAGCTTTGTCAAAAATGCCTTGTATGTTTCCAATTCTTGTTATCAGTTATGGAAAGTTATGTTGGATAATATTTTCAGTCTAAATAACTATCTCTTGGCTGTAAGATACAGCTAATATGCAACATTCAAAAACTATCACTGTTTATGATTTTTTTTTTTTTTGGGTCAGAGTTTCACTGGCAGTGCCTTAGCTGCTCTAGTTAAAGGCCTTCCTGAGGCTTTACAGCGGCAGTTTGATTATGAAGATCCCATTGTCAGAGGTGGCAAACAACTACTTCATAGTCCTTTCTTTAAGGTAATATAACATTGGGTGCAAAAGATGTGAAAGATTTAAAAGTCAGAAATGAGAACCCTTTAACATTGCTTGTAAGCAAATCTGAGTGGTCAGCCTGAAAGTTCATCTGAATTCTAATAGAATTACTTGGATTAAAATTAAGAATAAGAGGGGACAAAGCTAGCCATGGGCTTTAGAAGAATCCCATGAATTCTTTTAAAATTTAAAAGAAAAGAATTTTTGGAAGATAATAATATCACCATCTGATGTATCCAACTGAAAGCTTGTGCTTTTGAACCCAATTGTTTTTCTTTGTATAGGTGCTTGTAGCCCTTGCTTGTGATCTGGAATTGGATACCCTTCCCTGCTGTGCAGAGACACACAAATGGGCTTGGTTTAGAAGATACTGCATGGCTTCCAGAGTTGCTGTAGCCCTTGATAAAAGAACACCACTGCCTCGCCTCTTTCTTGACGAGGTACTGGTTTAACATAATGCTTGTTTAGTAGGATATTTAAATGTTAGTTCTTAAAACAATGCACAAAAGGCTGTTAGCAAATGAACATTTAAATCAGTTGCCCACATTATATTGGATAAAGACTATGAGGATATATGTAGTTTGGAGTCTGTCAGCATTGGTCTCCTTGCCATAACTTGCCCTATTTCATAATGGGATCCTAATGACTCATTATACACTCAACAGTTCAAACAATGCTGAAGTTCAACTGATCACAAAGTACCATAATTTATATTGTAGGTGGCCAAGAAAATTCAAGAATTAATGGCAGATCATGAAAATATTGATATCCTGCATGAGAGCCATGAAGTTTTTAAAAGAGAACAAGATGAACAGCTTGTACAGTGGATGAACAGGTTCTTTGGAGCTATATTTTTTGTGGGTTGTGGGGACACCTTTTGATAAACAATATTTCAATAAATATGTGAAAAACTGGGGTTTTAGGGAATTTTACACTGTCACTTGCCCTTTCCTTCAACAGGAGACCAGATGATTGGACACTTTCTGCAGGAGGCAGTGGAACAATATATGGCTGGGGCCATAATCACAGAGGACAGCTTGGAGGTATAGAAGGAGCAAAAGTCAAGGTTCCTACACCATGTGAAGCCCTTGCTACACTTAGACCAGTACAGTTAATAGGTGGTGAACAGACACTTTTTGCAGTGACTGCTGATGGGAAGGTAAGGAGCATATTTATATATAAAACATTTATCTGTCTGTGTGTCTAATTTATATGTTTGTCCATCTCACACAAAGTGACTCTGGGTGGTATACAGTAAAACCAGGGATTGAAACATTCAATAAAACCAGTTAAACAATAAATATGCCAAATGTGGTGATATCAGGAAGATCCCAAGGAGTCTGTGAAGTGGGAGATAGTGTGAATGAATACCAAAGTTTTACTCACTGTTGAAGGAAAATTATTGTCTTATTAAAAATAATTGATGGACTTTTAAAAATGATCCAGTGAATTAACTGCTATAATGTGTGGTATATATTGTATATTTTATACATAGTGCCTCATTTCTGGAACATCACTTACCAGACTTTCAGCCCAAAAGGGTCTTTCAAAAAGAGTTATTGCAGTAGTGGGTTATGAATGTTGGAATTGAAATTTCTACATGGCAACTGACCAGGCCTTCCATGATATCAGAACAGCCTTGCTAGTGACAATCATGGGAAAAGTAGTACTGATTATCTACTGCTGTGATATTAGAAGTCAGACCAGATGCTACATAGTATTCATTTACAATCACTTCTGAATTTTAAGGACCTGCAGCCAAAACAGTGGATTGCAGTGTTTTGAAACATTCTCTAGCTGAGCTTTCTAGCAGGCATACAGTGCATTTGGAAAGTATTCAGACCCCTTTCACTTTTTTCAATTTTGTTATGTTGCAGCCTGATACTACAATTATTCAAATTCATTTTTTTCCTCATTAATCTACACTAAATACCCCATAATGATAAAGTGAAAACAGAATTTTAGAAATGTTTGCAAATGTATGAAAAAGGAAAAACTGAAATACCATTTTTCAATTTTGTTATGTTGCAGCCTGATACTACAATTATTCAAATTCATTTTTTTCCTCATTAATCTACACTAAATACCCCATAATGA